CTCTGCCTACTCCGTCAGCAGTAGAAGTTGTGAAGCAGTCGAAAAATAAACTGTTTATGGTAGATTGTGATCCAGTCAATTGGGATTTAAATAACGAAACACATGAATGTAATTATTGCACTGAATGGTTTAATCAAGATATGGTATTTTTTCCATTGGCGTCGGGTGTTTTTCGACCAAAAAAAAAATTTTTTGAGAAAAATCAGTCATGAAATAATCAACAAGCAGAATTTTCTGGTAGTTTAGAAAAAAATTAAAGAAAAAAATTAAAACTTGGTTTTTAATTTAAAATAAAAAGCTTGACTGGCGTGTAAAGCCAGAAATTATTATATAGGGAACTTCATGATTTTGAGGTTTACATGCCATGCGTACTTTACTGCTTTAATGTAGGGGCGCCGATGAGATGCTTGCCTACAGCGCTCTCAGTGTTTAATCTGCCTCTGCTTACAATTTACATAATTTCCTAGAATCGAACCATAAAAAAGAACTTCCTGTCGTTAGTACAAGTAAACGTTCCCATTTTTATTTTCGTTTACGGTACGAGTACTATTAATAAAATTTAAAAGCTGTCAAAATAGTTTTTTTCTGCGAAATACCAACAGAAATTCATAAGTCATTCATAAGGCATTCATTCTCTATCCAGGGCAGCCTCTAGTCAACTTGTTATAAACATAATATTAGTAACTTTTTGGGCCAGTCATCATCATCATCAGCCGCAAGACGTCCACTGTTGAACATAGGCCTCCCCCTTAGAACGCCACAACGAACGACACTTTGCCATTTGCATCCACCGGTTGGGCCAGTCAGCCTTCATTTAAATGCGTTAAAAGCGAAGTTTATCATTGAACTATTCATATCGTGCAATAAAATGCGATCGAAACTTACATTTTATACTAATCTACCTATCAGAGTACTCTCATATACTTAAAGGGCGAATTCAAACGGCAAAAATGTCTTAGGGTTCCTTTGCTTACGTAAGACCCACAAATCTAAATAAATTCTTGTAATTCAAGAGAGCTTCAACTACTGCAAGACTCCCGACCCAACGAGACCCAAACAATTCATCGAAAGAACTGAAACCCATTTCATCCCTCTAACCCCTGTATTAACCAAAAATAAGCGCGCGGGTTCATAACCGTCACATGCGACAACGTCCTCATTGACCCCGCTAGACAACACTCATAGCTCAGCCACCACGGATTTCCATAGGAGCATGCTATGTTGAAAATGTACGACTGTTGAAAATTCCGTGGACAGCGTTTCGAACTAATATTTCCATCCTTAAAAAAATTGTATACAAAATAGACTCGTTGACTGATCAACTACGAATCCTCAAGTTCCTTGGGCACATCTCTGGATAGGAAGATTCCATGGAGAGACTTATCATTAAAGACCGGGTAGAAGGCACAAGACCTGAGGTGGAGCCCCACGCGCTGGATTCACCTAAACTACGAAATCTACCGCAGTACAATGTGCTCGCATTGCTAACAGCCGCCTCCAATTAAGGAACATCGCTAGACGTGCGGCTCCTTGGAAGCGAACAGCGACGACGAGACGCAACCCTGTCCATCGACAGCCACGACCACTCTGTCAAGAATGTCCGACTAAGAAGGCTATGCTCAGTATTCGTCTGTCGTGAGTTCGCAATGGAGGAATCCGCAGTAGAGCATAGTTACCGACAAAGGTCAGAGGATTAGTGTGCTTAAGTGGTAATTGTATATAGCTTGAAGAATCGATAACCAGTGGGAAAAAAGATTCTTGAGTGGCAGCCTTGTTTTGGCCATCGTAGTGAAAGACGACCCCAGTGACGATAGATGCAAGTGCCTCATATTAGTGTTTCGTGGCAGTGTGGGGTGGGAGGAGGTTTGGGGGGGTGGGGTATCAGCAGTGTACTAAACAGGGTGAAATAATGATACATAGCTTATCATATTGGTTAAAAAGAAAATTATGTCAAGTAATAATAAACGGCAATTTGCTTTGATGCCTAACCTCTTATTTGCGTGAACACGATCGGGCGGTTTTAGTAAAGGGATATTGTTTGACTTTTGTCCCCTTAAAATTAGGGTTAAAATCTTTTACGTGATTATGGTGTTTACTTTATGTTCCCTAAGTAAATAAATAAATACCGACTGTGATCAAGTGTTTATATTTGTATTGTTTATTTATGATAACATTAAAGAATATAATAGCGTTGGTCTAAGTACTGGCAACTGGCAAATGATTGAAATAAACATTATAGCATGATGAATTACTTAAGACCTTTTTATAAACTGCTATAATTGAGCTTGACCAATGAACACGCCTTCACAAAGGTACAACCTCAGAGGCGAGCTTTTAATTCATCAACGATTCGCTTTCACACGAACCGAATTCGGTTACGCCAATTGGTGAGTCGCACAAGCACCGGCTCTATTTACCTAACGAAGGAAAATCCGAAGGCGCCTATGAAATATCACAAGTGCCGAGACTTGTGCGATTTTAAAATAAATGTTTAGCCATATCTAAGTGAAGGAAGTTAATTTTTTAATAAATATCTAAGGAGAAAATATAAAACCATTTACATACTTTTTTCAGATTTCTAGTTTTATTTTATGATACCTGTTTTTCACGTGGTAGAGCCGTGATGGCTTTTGTTGTAGCCGATTCGCCTGGCTTACCATCGTCCAGTACCACGTAGAGACACTCAAATATTTACTCCATCTGACATATACTATCTAATCTTTGAACACCAAGTCGACCCTTTGATCGTGCTGAGATATGTTGCTTCTTTTGCATTTTTTATCGCATTAATTACATGGAGTGCTTTCTGGATCTCTGTTTACAGTTCACTACTTGCTTGTTCACTAGTTGCTACTTCCACGCTATTTTGTACTACCCACAAACGGTTTGGGGAATCAAGTGTTGCCGGCGGTATTTCCGGGCTAATATGACTTTCAAGAACGAAACCTATTCCTACCACAAAATTTGGCCCAAAGTTGTATCTCCTCTGGGATTGCGACTGCCTCCCATTCCATAAAACTTAAACAATTTAAATCGACCGTTATAAAATTAGCAATTTCCTACGCAACAGTGGAGTTTACTCAATCTTACACGTTCCTAAAGAAAATTGACTAACTTATGGCTTCATTAAAGGGCAATTTGCGGGACTCCGTAACGTTAACTAGGTGAGATACAAAAAAAAAGTACGCAATCAAGGCCCCAAACTCGCTGCCCTTAGTAAAACAGACGAGGAAAATGTCTGGTGTTTTAACTAAAACAAATTCTCTTCGTTTGTTATTCGTTTATCTTTTTGTAAAATAAGAGTGAATTGAATCTTGGTGTGCTTTAAAAGTGAGTTGAAAACAACTTAATTATGTAGCGTTGATAGCATTTTTATGTTTATCATCATTCTATAAATTTACGCCTCATAAATATGGGATGCATATAATTATAATTATATGAAATTAAATTAGGTAAAAAAAAATATGAAATATTATAACGGGGGCAATGAAATTGCATTACATTAAACATTCTTAAAATTATTTAAATTTATAGAAAAAAGGAACGAAATGTTTCTCGCCGCTGTGACCATCGAGTCCTCTTCGGGATTCGCGCCTTTTTTCAACAAATTTTAATGTTTAATCTTAAGTGCAGAGATTAATACTATAAAAAATTGAAATTTCTAAAAAATGCACTTCGTAGGCGGCACTCCTCCCTGTAGTTGACGCGCGCTTGAGCAAATGGGCTGCCAAATGGGTAATTGCGGAGGGCCTTTCCAAGGGGGAGGGGTTCTGGCTAGCCCACGGGTTCTGCGTTCGATGAAGCTTTAACAGTCTACAGACTGGGAGCCCTAACTTCAGTTACAGCAAAAAAAAACAAAACTTTACTATACTCACTTTACTAGTCTATACCCAAAGGAAAAGACATAATATTATCGTCTACAGTTGTAGCGTTTTAAGATTACTCTATTTTGTGATCTAAGCTGTATATAGCCGGAAACATATCAAAGGGAAAAAATAGTTTTAAAAATGAATGCGTCATGTATTACGACTCATTGTTAATTCCCTTTGACCACGCGGGCGTAGCAGGGGGTAAAATTCAGTATCATATAAAAATTTAGCTTCCGTATGTTTGTGCCCACAAAACTTAAAACCTAGCCGATGACTTGACATTAGTTCACAACATATCTATTGAATGGGAGAGTGTTTTTTGTACAGTTTTTATTAAGAAATTCCAATACGTTCAAATTATCTCTAAGAGAGACTTTCTTTCATTTTAGATCTCAAGTCGATATTCCAGCCCAGCAACTACATCTTTAAGCAAAGACATATATTTTCTATTATTCAGGTCTGACCAAAGGCTAACTATATCTGTATATATTTTCTTGCAAAAGTACATTTTTGTAATGTTCTCTCTGAATGCCCATCGTCACCTTTTTTATTTTTAATTTCACTTCTCATGCCACTTCGAGTTTCATTAAGTTCTAAATTTGTTCCTTTGTGAAGGTAACAGGTGCGGTTTGGTGAAGATATTCCGCAGTCTTTTTCCCTTTAATTGAATTCGTGCAAAGGTTCTTCGGGCGGGGGTTTAATATTAAATGGAATGAGGCGAATATTTTATTAAAGGACTTAAGAGAAATTGAAATAAACGATGTCCGAAAAAAACACAACTTTTATTTACTAAACGGACAAGTAATTTTTTTACTAACGAAAAACAAAACCGACTATATATCTCGCTCTGTATTCATTGTATAATTGATTTTCAGGATTTTCCTACGTATCTCCGGAGCCCAAGATCTAATAAAAATGAAATTATGGGACCACATGAGAAGCAGCAGTTTTCAAATAAAAAAAAATCATAAAAATCGTTCCACTCAATTAAAAGTTAGTAACAAACATAAAAAAAAACAGTCGAATTGAGAAACTCCTTGGTTTTTGAAGTCGGTTCAAAATATCATCATGTTTGCTTTTAGATATGAGGAGAAATTTATTAAATAGCTTTCCGTCCTTCCTTGTATGTAGATGGACGCCAGATATGATTATGCGACGCGCTTAACGAACGAAGAAGATTTAAAGGGTTCTGATATGGCGGCCACTTGGCGTACCACTTCAACGGTAGCTTGCAGGTACAGATTTTACTGGACTTTTACAGGTTTCTTTTAGCTGCTGGACGTAAGGGCATGGTACTAACCGGCGCTGTGTAGTATAATCGAGAGCGAATTCGTGACTTTTATATCGGAAACCTAGTTTATAGTCGTAATTATAGCATGCGTGGCGGTTTAATTGATTCACCGCGGGGAAAATACTTAGCACTATCGTGAATGCATCCAAGATAAGTCGCGATTAGCTTTCATTCGATGCTCTGCCCTCGGAGTCGGCGGTCTTAGCAGTAGTTCAGACGTTCACGATTGCGGAGGTCTTGCTGACGCTTGAGGCAATCTGTCAGCGAGTTCTTTCACCCACTCAGCAAGCCACATCTTATAACGTCTTGATCCCGCGGAATCCTATTTCATGATCGAAAGCTGACGTAAATTACGCGAAATTATTGGCGTACAAGGATAAATAACAAACACGTTAAAGTAAAAGTTTACTTAACTATTTCATGCGCAATAAAATTTTAATTTACTTATGTTATAATGTTTTACATGTTTTGCGATTATTCTTTATATACTCTACCGGCGACCCGCCATGGTTTCGCATGGGTGCAATGTATTATACATATAAATTTTCCTTTTGAATCACTCTATCTAGTAAAAAAAACCGTATCATGATCCGTTGCGTAATATTATAGATCTAAGCATACATACAGACAGACAGACAGCGGGATGACTTTGTTTTATACTATGTAGTGATAAAGTAAGTAAAATTCCAGCACCGAAATTAAGTACCCTGTCTTCTTTTTCTCTTTAGTAATCGAACATTAGAAATACCAATTATGTGAATTACTTTTTATATAATCCAAAAGTTAGGTTATAAATTGTATTATAGATCAGGCCGCATGCAGTTTGATGGACTTGATTGAGTTTATATTATTCACGATCACTGTAAAATCATTATCTTCTCGACCGACTTCCAAAAAGGAGGTAGTTCTCAATTTGACTGTATTTTTTTATGTTTGTTACCTCAGAAATTTCAACTAAATGAAACGATTTTCATGATTCTTTTTTATTTGAAAGCTGGTGCTTCCCATGTGGATAATTTCTTGGTATTGGATCTTGGGCTCCGGAGATACGAAGAGAACACCTGAAAATCGATTATAAAATGAATATAAAATACAGAGCGAGATTTTAAGTCGGTTTTGTTTAACGTTATAAAAAAGAACTTGTTTAATCTATCGATAACAGACAAATTAAAAAATTACTCATAGTCTCGATAGAGCTACTTTGAAACTCCTCTAATTTCAAGTAGGCCCATTCGAATCTATTTAGTGAAGTATAAAACACGCCACTCTTCCGCCCTGTTGTGTCTTGTTAGCCGGCCGTAACAAATATTTGCTAGCCCCTCAACCGTAAGCTCGTTTGAAACTCCCAGTTGACCTCTCAGCCATAGTGGAACTTAGCAAATTGCTACGGAATACTTAATGAATTTAGTTTTAACGACATTCCTAGACCGGGCCCCTCAAGTGTTAGGCAGATTTTGAAGATTTTACGACGAAGAAACATTTGGAAATACAATATGTCGTAATCGTATTCAAAGGTAATACGATCATTTAATAAATTCGGTTCAATACCAATGCAAATATAATTGCTAAAATTGTTTCAGAATAGACAAATTTCTGAGGTATTTGTTTGTATCTCTAACCTATAAACCCATAAAAAAACATAGAACCGAATTAAGACCTCCACCTTTTTTGAAATTGAATAAAAACTGCACAAACAGTAAAGCGAAATGTTGACAATATTACTTTTATAAGTCGGCGTATCCGCTCAGGGGCTTAATGGCTAATTTTACTCAAATAATTTACCTATTGGTATTCAATTACCAGTGTTATATAATATGTTATTTTAATGATATGATATAAACTGGTACTTTATCTTTATTTATATTATAATTCTACTACGTGTCGCTGAACTCCTCCTAAACGACTGGACAGATTTAATGAAATCTTTTGTCTTCAGGTCGATTCCAGAATGGTTTAGATTCACAATTTTTTAATTTTTTTTTTAAATTATCGGATTTAAGTCGTGTGTATGGAACAACGTCTGCCCGGTCCGCTAGTTTTAGTATAAAATCACTACCACTATAAATGATATTAATCTTGTAATAAATGGGTGTAAGAACGCACGAATGTCTCATTTTAATAATTTATTTATGTTTTAAATATTCTTTCAAATGTAACATAAATGCGATCAGACGAATATTGTAAATTGAAGCAACTGTATACTCACATTATATCAATTGGAGTAGTGTGAACTTAAACGTGTTGATCTCTGCCGACGCTTAATTACGTAGCAGTCGTAACGATGCGGTTAGCTGTGTTTGCCAGCCGCAAGCTAGCAAACTTTGTGCCGAAACGATTTCTTACTTTCACCGTGAAGAGCTTATGTAACAGTTTATTTCGATTGCTTCCCTTAATAATAATACTTTAACTTCAGCGTATTCTGATACTTTGAAATAACATTTTAAATCGAATATTTTTATATCTAAGCTAAGCTCAATGCTGATTTTTTTATGTGAGGAGGTCGCAAGCGAGGTGGCGGTTCACCTGATATTAAGATAACCGCCGCCCATGAACATTTGCAACACCCGTAGGGTTGCAGATGCGTTGCAACCTTTTAATAAAGTGGACCCCGGCTACCACACTCACCAGACGAAACGCAGAAGTATGACACTTCTACTTCGCGCCGGTGTTCTGTGTTGTCGTATTACTTACCCAGACGGACCAGAGATGTGAATTTAAAAATTACTACATAATAATACAATTTCTCGTATAGCAATGATTATATAAACATGAAATGAAGTAGAACCAATACAACATTAATTTAGCTACACCCAACTTTCATTAGTCTTACCCACTTGTCACAAATAAAAAAATAATATGAGTCGTGACGAGCATGAGGATGGTTAGAACATTTCACTGGGATTATTTTGCAGTCAAAGCAAGGCGAGGTTTGGCTCTTGGCCACAATTAGAATCTCACTGGAATCCAGTCCCTTTTTCCCGTAGCAATCAATCGCTTATCGCTAACGGTGCAAGCAATCTGTTCAATAGAGCCCTCTCCTCAACGATATCGCGTTCTCAACATTTTTTTCGCTTCCGAACCATAAATCGTGAATCATTAATCTTACTCCCGAAGCCCGAATTCCATTATTGCGTTTCCGTATTCAAAAGATCACGCGAAATTGAATATGAAAGATGAATTATTCCTTCTATTTTTAAAATTATTATCGTAGTACCAAATTGATCGTCTTCCTAGAGGAAGATAGGATGCTGTATTAAGCACGTTTTATTTTGTACTCGCTTTACTTTAGAAGCGTTTTTGGGGTGCTTTACGTGGGGAACATCTTAATACAAAATAATTTATATTTTTATTGACGCAGTTGGTTCACCTGATGTTAAGTGGCTACCGCCACCCATGGCCATCACCAACACCTGTCGGAAATCAGTACCTAACCAAGACAGGCCCTGGTTACCTCTCTTACCAGAGGTAACGCGAAAGAATAATACCTCCCATTTTTTTATGCGAAAAAGTGGCAAACGACCTGGCGGTTCACCTGATGTTAAGACAACCGCTGCCCATGGATATTTGCACCACCCGTAGGGTTGCAGATGCGTTGCAAACTTTTAATAAAGTGGGCCCCGGCTACCTCACTCAGCAGACGAAACGCAGAAGTATAAAACGTCCGCCTTACGCCGGTGTTCTGTGAGGTCGTGGTACGTACTCGGACGGACCTGCCAATTCGTGCAACAGCGAACACTGTAGCGTGGCAGTACCACAGTTCACCAAAATTCTCGCCGGTCTTCAGTTATCAAATTATAAGTTCTTTTATTATCATGAAAAGTGCGATAGAACTACTTTAAAGATTTTAACGCATTTAATCATCAAAATATACACAAAACTATCTGTTATAATTTGATTTTAGTTCTTTTTTTCATATTGTTGGTGTCTACGTTCACATCATTTTATATGGCTTCAAAACGACAAATTGTTTCCATTCAAAGTCTGCGAGTCCTTTTGTTGAATAGACCTTATATACTGAATTAACTGGCAACACACACGGCCGCTCATTAAGACGCATCCGCAATTAAGAGGCTCCCATCAGCTCTCATATTTGCTCAAAGCATAATTAATGTTTCTCTTTGGAACTGCAAACAGCCAACTTAATTTTCTTTGTTGTGCCCTTTAATTATAATCTTACGGTTGATACTTCCACAAATCGAATACGTAATAGAATATATTAACATTTTTATTACGTTCGATTAAATAAAAAGATGTGACTTTCAATTACCTTTTATATATTTCCACTCTAAGTTTTAATTTTGTTTTAATACTTTATAGTGGTGGTCGTAAATACTAGGGTTTGGAATGCAAGTAGGTTTCAGCAATTTTTTTAATGTGTTCACTGTTTCGCAAACTATAATACCTATCTCAACTTTCTGTCTGTTGCGTAGAATGAGGCACACCAACTGACACGTTGAAGATTAAATACGTTCTTTAAAAGCGGATGCAATCCGAAAAGAATCGGACCGGGTGGCTCAATCCTAAATCCGCAGACATTTTAGACCCGAGCCACATTGAAGCGAAACCAATAATATATTCAATTTATTCCCCTTCATTTCCTTATCAGTAGGCGCAGGCCATCGCCCGCTCAATAGAGTTCTTTCGTTCCGTTATCGCGCGCCTACTTTTTTCTCTTCCAGAACATAAATCGAGAATCATTAATCTCCATCGCGGAACCCGAATCTCGTTACGATTCAGTGTTCTAAAATCGAATCGAATGGGACCAGAATGTTTGTTAAATCAAATGTTGCAATTAATGAAATGTTTAATTTAAAAAAGATTTTACATGAAAAAGTGGTTGTTTTCTGTAAGCACATTGCTTTAAAATATAATAAAAAGAATGTAAATAAAATACATTGACATTTTCGTAGGTATCATATCAGGTAAGATATGCCGTTTATCTCGTTGGTTAAAGCGTCGGCCGCGTATCCCAGAGGACCCTGGATCAAATTCTCGCAGCGGTGAAATATTTCGCCTTTTACTTATTTTATATATCTAGGAATGTTAAGAAAATAAAGTTTAATAAAAAAATTACTCAATAATGTAATAAATTAAAACTATAACATAATATTGCATATTTTTAAAATTATTATAAATTGGAACGAAATTTGAACGCCACAATCAATGTATTGTTTGCTTCTGTAACATAATGCCATCATTAGATATTTTGTATACTTTGTTACTCATTATTTATCTATCATTGGGAAGAAACCACCAGAAAACCACCGCTTGGAAAGTAGCATAACAAACGAAAGTGTTTTAAAACCATTTTTAAAACAGTAAATGCGCAATCGCTTTGCTGCGGGGATTTCTTTTGATGTTTTAGAGAAATATTATAAACTATTTTGTCGACCATTTAACGTGGATTTTATAATTGTTTGACAGGGAAGTGTTGCCCAACGGGACCCTGTGGCTCGGCGCGTTCTCGGCGGCGCAGTACCGGGGCGATGTGCACGCGACGGTCTACCGGTGCAGGGCGGCGGGTACGGTCGGCACCATACTTTCCAGGGACATGCGTCTGGAAGCCGGTAAGTGGACAGCGATTTTCGAACGCAGTTGAAAGTGGAAAGGTTCTAAGCGCGTTGCGGATTTGGAGTATGGCGATGATATTATATATAATACAAATACAAGGCATATGACACTAGCCCACCGAAACTGAGGCACTCAAATTGCGCCATTAGATTGCAATTCTATAGACTACTATCTTATAACAATAAGAGTCCATGCTTTTTTTTTTCAACGTATCTTCTATAAATAATAATGACGTAGGTCACAACCGAATAAAACAAGAATACCACAAGCATTAATATTGGCACTAATTAAATTTTAACAGCCAAGTTGAGTGAATAAATTTCGTAAAGAAGATCCAAAGTGCACAATTGTTTCTAATCGACTGACCACTGACCTCAACAATAATTCCAAACTTGGTCCGTACACCGTTTAGGTGAAGTATACTGTCACCACATTCACTCTTCATCATCACAAAGATATGAATTTATTGTTAATTGGATATACGTTCTTGTGATCTCAATTCATTCAATTTGATAGAATTCCCTGCAACTATATTAAAATTATCGTTATATAATAAACTTCTCAAAACACGCCTTAGCCTAGTTCTTCTTTCATTGGAATAAATTGTATAGAATTTCTAAGAAACATAAAATGAATACGAGAAGTGTTTCGCACGGTATAAAGTTGTTTCTTATTTATGAATTTAACTCCGGACAAAATTAATTATTTAACTAAGATGTGCTAAAAGATAGTGACGTGATATATGAATAGGTTCTTTATGAAATATTTTTATGAAGGAAAATATCCTTACTATAATATTATAAACGCGAAAGTTTGTATGTATGGATGAATGTTTGTTACTCTTTCACGCAAATACTACTGAATGGATTTTCATGAAACTTTACAATAATATAGCTTGTACATCAGAATAAGACAAAGGCTATAATTTATATACATATTTTATGTACATCTTTCTTTCTGTCTGAATGTTACGCCTTCAGCCTATTCTACGCAGACGTAGTCGCGTGCAGCAGCTAGTATTGTATATATTATGACCTCCTAATTAAACATTTGTTTTTTTTTATATCCTACGTAATACTATATCGTACTATGACTTTTTCCAACAACTCCGCCCCTGTGATTCGTATGAAAATTATGTGTTTATTTTAATAATTAAGAAGATAAATACTGTAAAATATCCGGTACAACTTTATCACACGAATCACTTATGTTCATGAGTTAAATATGTTTTATTTCTGTTTTTTAGTTTGTTATAGCGGCAGCAGAAATACATCATCTGTAAAAATTTCATCTGTAAAAATTCTAACTATCACGGTTCATGAGATACAGCCTGGTGACAGACGGACAGACAGACAGACGGACAGACAGACAGCGGAGTTTTAGTAATAAGGTCTCGTTTTACCCTTTAGGTACGAAACCCCAAAAAGAACAAACTCGATTTGAGCATTATCTACGCCCTTTTAACAAAACTTTACCATTCTCATACAAAGGCGTTACGTGATTTTTGTGCTCATTACATAATTTGTCGCAATCCTGTTATGTATGGAGGTGCATAATCTACATCAGTTATCTGAATCTGAACTAATTTAATCTGTGTCCCTCGTCGTAGGCGACAGGGTCAAGCTACCAATCCATTAGAGACCCTTTTAGGTGGCGTCTTAAGTTGGGGGACGAGATGACCGCCGTCATTACACGTTGAAGTGGTTACATTGGGCAAATATAACCCGAGAAGCTACGATAGTGTTAACGGATGTCACGTAAAAGGTAGTATTTGTTATGCAATTTCTCCGAATAAGGCACTGAAGACTGATAGCCCGTCGAATGGAATGCTCTAAAACAGAGTTGTACAGAATACTACAACTATGTTTTAGAGAATTCCATTCGAATCCCTGGGAGTAACTTTTATGTGGTTAAAAGGTAAATAGAAATTGAAATCAAACAGATCAAATTTAAGTACTACCTTATTGTCCGATACGCTACCTGAGTCGATTATTATTAAACATACAAGTGAAGCGAAAACTCGGGAACTATGGGTTAGTTTATTATTTTGCATCGTAGATATTAGCAATGGTGATACAATATGCCGCAACACATACGTCCCGTATACGTGTGTTGTAATTAATTAATTGATTAATTTAAGCTCTATTGTTACAGCTTAAGCTAAGGGCCACAATGGGCGGACTTAATGCCTAAGGGCATTCTCTACCAGTCAACCCTTTTCACTGTGAAAAGGTGGCAGTTAAAAGTGAAGTAGCAAGCAGCCTATATATGTCCCACTGCTGAGCAAAGATATCCTCTGTATAGAGGGTATTAGGCCGCAGTACATGTCGGGGAAAGGCCAGAAATATCGCGTCCAGACTCCATTACACACACATAATATCGTGAGGAAATCTTTCCTCACGATGTTTTCCTTAAAAAAATACGGTCGAATTGAGAATCTTCTCCGTTGTCACCGCTGAAAATATATATAAAATAGCTGTACCGCTGAGCACATGATAAGTCAGTAGTTAAAATTAACAATTTTATTGGTGCTGACACCGGGGATCAAAGTCTTGTTGCTCTAGTGTATTGAATTAAAAGCGAGCGGAAACTGAGCTGTCACGGCTCTAAGATAGTAGATCAGAAAATAAGAAATATGTAAATTTCCCCTGAAATGTATATTTATGTAAATTTCCCCTGAAATGTATATTTATGAACACAAATATTGTAGAGTTATTGGAAAACTGGGGAACTGTGGCTCAATTTATTATTTCGCATCTTAGACATAAAAGCCGCAATATAATAAACTGCAGTCCATACATGTACATTACAGAACATCTGTGTTGTAGTTATGTATTCTTGTATAACTTAATAATCGACTTACTTTTTCTACTCATCAATGTGTAGGTACGATTTAATCCTTAAGTCAATCAAATCATTACTATACTATAATGTAGTTACATTGATTGTTAATTTAGTCCGTGACTTTATACCAAACTTCGTAAACTTTAAAATTTTATTTCTCGTAAGCTTTTAAGTAATTTAAAAGTTTACGATGTAAGTTAGAAACGTAAAGTTAAAAACAAAAATAAGTTCCCAAAAGTATTAATATGCGGGTATGGGTTTGTTTTTATCGAACACAAGAATTCAGAACATACATTTCGGTTAATCTTCCATTTTATCACAAACGGCTCGACGTCGACCGTCCAATCACACTTGACGAAAAGGGAAAAGGGATTTTTTCGGGTGTTAAATATTTATTACTTCACACTTAGTCGATCAGCCTTCGGGGCCGATTCGCTGGTCCATTAGGGTGCCTTCCAGTGAGCTCTTAAGTTCGGGGGCTGTGCGTCATTCTCAGTTATAAGTTGAAACGTTTTGTCCGCGCGAACATCGTGTATTATTACGTCTATTGCGTTAAAGCTCCACTTTGAACTAGTTTTAGTCACTTTGCCGCGATAAAGGTGACGATTTCTATTAGTAGTAACATTTAAAATTGTAACGGACTTGGCTTTTAAGTTAATGCCGGATGACGTCAATTTATTAAGAATACTGAACACGCTAATTAAACTCGCAGCATGTCACTTTGTGACAGTCACTTCTACGCTAAGGAAAACTAACGGTAATAACCTATTTGGTAAATATTATGTTTTCATTTTTTATCTAAGAAGGTGGCAAGTGAGATGGCGTGTCTCCTGATGTTCAGTGATACCGCCGCCCATTGATAATTGCAACACCCATAGGGTTGCAGATGCGTTGTCACCAAATAATAAAGTGGGCCCCAGCTACTTTACTCACCAGATGAAACGCAGATGTATAACAGTTCTACTTCACGCCGGTCTTCTGTGAAGTCGCGTGGTATTTCCCCAGATGGACCTGCCTATTCGTGCTACAGTGTAGACTTCTACGTGGCCCTACGACAGTTATGTAATATAATGTTTGTAAAGTCGTCCCTCTGTCTGTCTGTCTCTATACAGCGAGTCGTTACAATCGCGACAATAAATGAACACATGTCCAACGCTACTTGCCAATAATCGTAAAAAAATCCATAAAAAAAAATATTTTTCAAACAAACTAATTAAATAAAAATGAAGTAAAATTTGTTACATCCTATACAACAACAACTCATTGATTCATACATTCAAAGACTTTTTAATTCGTTGCCACAGCGTCGCATTACAAATCTCTCTTTCTAACAGTATGTTTTATCTCTTTTAAATATTTTCAACCCATTCATATGCTTTGTGACCTGTTCAAACTTTACGTTAAAGTTTATACGTAAGGCTGTTCTAAAATATATTGTTTTGGAAAATTTAATAACTCGGTAAACAATGCGAATGTTTAATACAATTTTAAAAAGTTATCCTCTATATGCGTCTTGATTATTTGTCGCGGTTATGACGTGGTTACGACACGCTGTATATGCTTAGATATTTAAAACTACGCAACGGAACTTGATGCGGGTTTTTTAATTGATAAAGTGATTCATGAGGAAGGTTTATATGTATAATACATTGTATCCGTGCGAAGTCGGGGCGGGTCGCTAGTTTATAAAAAACATACAATAAACAATTTACTTCAGCTATAGGTCGTCCTATCATTGACGTCCGCCCCTAGAATGCTATGAGTGACCTATTTACCCGAGGTCAATTACTGGATTCGTTCAATGTGAGGGTCGCGCCTACTTCAGACAATAAACGCTCGTGCCTCGCAGTTTGTCGCATGTACGTAAACTTGAAACGCCGACGTGACCAGCCTGTCACGTCGACGATCCGCCGGTTGGAGTGCGCCACGCGGGCTGAATCGTAAAGTATCCAAGCGTCACGGGGGAGCAATTGGGGCGTGTAATGCAGGCGGGGAATTCAATACCCCGTTTTTATAGTTTCACGTGAATTTTCCTATGTCGTAAGGTTTCCGCTGCTTTTTATTGCCTGTACTTTTTTTTTCTTTTTGAAAGATAGTTGTCCCGTGTTAGATAGAAAATAGTTGACCCGTGTGGGAATCGAACCCAGGACCC